TTTCCCTGATTCAACAAGAAGGTACAGGTTGGGAGAGCAGCAGGAGAGGAGCCATGGCCTGTTCAGCCAGCTTCATGGGTAAGGGAAACAGTACCAGGAAAAGAGGGTGGATATATACCACAGACGGGACCACAGGAAGACACAGGTGCCACAGGTGCCACACCAGCATCAGACAGAACTGGGGGGACCAGAGCAAGACCAGGAATCCCCACACACCCTCCACAAGTGGGAGACATAGAACTCGCCTCCCCAGCTGTCCTTCCTGTGCTCAGCATCAAAGGAAGGAACACCTAGGAGAGGGAGAGGGAGGAGGTGTGCAAAGCCTGACCACAGCACCCTCTTCCTCTACCAGCAGCCAGGATCCCATCTCTGCAAATGCTGTTGAGGACAAACTGTCAATCAGAGTGGAAACTGATGTTTTAAAAACAAAAAGGGGCCAGGCGCAATGGCTCACATCTGTAATCCCAGCACTTTGGGAGGCTGAGGAAGGCAAATCACTTTAGGCCAGGAGTCCGAGACCAACCTGGCCAACATGGCAAAACCCTGTCTCTACTAAAAGTAAATAAATTAGCCAGACAAGGTGGTATGCGCCTGTAGTCCCAGCTACTTGGGAGGCTAAAGCCGGAGAATAGCTTGAACCCGGGAGGCGGAGGTTGCAGTGAGCCAAGATGGTGCCATTGTACTCCAGCCTGGGCAACAAAGCAAGACTCATCTCAAAAAAAAAAAAAAAAAAAAAAAGGACTAAGTCATACAGAAATTAAAAAGGTTTTAAAACTTAAACATGGCAGGAAAGATATGGCCCTGGTCAAAGGATCCTCAAGAGTCCTACTGCACAGAAGGAGAGAAGAATTTGATTCAGCACAGTGGAAAGCAGTGATTAGCAAAAATAAAACCAATTCCTATGTATGTGCAAAGCTGAGACCTCTCAATAAATAAGCCAAATATAAAAGATGTTCAACCTACAGGTTGTCCATTGCCACCCTCACCCAACCTGTTCCAGTGACCAAGGCAATCAGAAACCAGCCCCAGGAGGCACAGGCCCATTCCCTCCAGTGGCTGAGCTCTGCCATTCCTCTCGCTACCCAAAGCCTGGAATACCTGTGGCAAGCCTTGGGCAGAAGACCCACCCAAACCTGGCCCATGCATCCAGTATGCAGGCTTAGGCTTCTGTCTTAATTTCCTGATGATATCCCAGCTTCCCTCTGGAAAAGCCCTGGCCATTTGCGTAATGCCCTAACAACTCAAGCTCTCTCCAACCCTCTCTCCCTGAGAACTGAACTCTTCCCCTATTGGATCCCTCTGGACTGAAGTTTCTATTCTTCCTCTTAGATTCATGGTGGCACTTCCTCTCCCAGAGGCCCCCCAGTTATAACACCCCTGGGGTGTTTGGCCAAGGCCAAAGTCACAACATCCTCTTGTATATCCCACTAGTATTGCTGAAGACTCTGAGTGGGAGAAGCCCCACACCCTGGACTGACCTCTGGTCTCCAGGCTCACCCTCCCCAGCAATTCTGGTACTTAACAGTCAAGACCACATGGGTTATGACTGTATGGGGCGTTACAGATTGGAAAGTTGCTGCAACCGAACCAGAGGAATTGCTCAGGGCAGGAGCTCACAGGATGGAATTTAAGATCTCAGGGTAAAGCAGGTCTGGGTGATGCCAAAGGCTCCGGTCTGGCTATGGGATGAGTGGATGCAACGGAGGAAGTGAGGGCTACCAGCATGGAGGAGGGCCATCAACTGAGACACTAAGGATTCACTTGCTGAGCCACTGATACCCTAAGACAGACCTGGTGTGTCACAGTGACATGGCCAGGAAAAGATCATTTAATCTTGCCTAAGAGGAGGGAGACCAGAAAGGTATACATGTGATTTTTTTGTTTTCTTTAACATTTTACTATGAAATATTTTAAATATACCACAAAACCTGTGTAATGAACTATCATGTCCCCAGCACCCAGCTTCAACAGTTATTAAAGTTTTACCCACCTTATATCCCCTGGATCCCCCCACACCGTGCCCCTCCACCACCACCAGTGGATAATTTTAAAGCAAATCCCAGACATCTTATCATTGCATTGGTAAATACTGCAACGTGGCTCTCCAGCAGAGAAACACTCTTTAAAAAAAAAACAAAGAACAAAAAAAAACAAGAAACAACATCATACCTAAAGAAATTAAAGAATATCTGTAATCCTAGCACTTTGGGAGGCCAAGGCAGGCGGATCACCTGCGGTTGGGAGTTCGAGACCAGCCTGGCCAACAGGGAGAAACCCCATCTCTACTAAAAATATAAAATAAGCTGGGTGTGGTGGCACATGCTTGTAATCTCAGCTACTTGGGAGGCTGAGGCAAGAGAATCACTTGAACCTAGGAGGTGGAGGTTGCGGTGAGCTGAGATCGTGCCATTGCACTCTAACCCTCTCTCCCTAAGAACTCTGTCTCAAAAAAAAAAAAAAAAGAAATTAAAGAATAATTCTTTAAAATCATCTATTAACCCATCTACCATCATGTTTACACATTAGACTCATAAATGCCTTTTTACAGATGGTTTGTTTGAATAAGGTTCACATGTTGCACTGGATTGATTTGTCCCCGTCCTACTTTGGTTTCCCCAGAAACAGACTCTGGGACAATGATTTCAGTGCAAATGGTTTATTTGGGAGGTGACCCCAGAGAAACTGGTAGGGGAGTCGGAAAGTGAGCCAGTGAGGGAGGAGCACCAACAAGGGTGTGTTGCTGCTGGGGGCAAAGGAAGCTCAGTCTCTCTAGGCAACTCCAGAAAACAGTGTAGGACACCTCTGAGAGTTTCCCCAACCCTGGGAGGTAGAGGAAAGGAAGCTGGGGTATTTGTATACCAGCTCTCCATCCACCTTTGGCTGGGGACTGCTTTGAGACATTAACTCTCTAAGCCATTAATTCTCTGGCACTCTGCTCTGCTTACCATGTGTAATCTTGGGGACAGAATAAATACCCTTGGGCAAAGGGTCACAGATGTCCCCAGCGTGCAGCCTCCAGCAAGCTGTAGAGGTCGAAGTGGAGTGAATGTGGGCAGAGCATCAAATGCATCTGTCACAGTCCCTTAGAAGTTTCTTTCATTAACATCACTTCCCCCCATCTTTTTCCTTTCCATGTATATAATAAAGAAATGTGGCCTATTTTAGAATTTCCACATCCAGTGGATTATATTCCCATAGTGTTATTTGATATGCCCCCCTATCTTCCATACTTTCTATAAATTAAATAGTTGAAAGATTGATCAGATCGCAATTCTACTTTCTGGCAAGAAACCTACAGGTAAGTCAGTGTCCTTCCTACACCACCACATAGTAAGTATGGGCTTCTAACAACTAAAGATTTGCCCAGCTTGAAAGAAGCTTGAGCCCCCTCTCATTGGCTGGTTATGTTGCTTAATTCAGCATATTCCCAAGCAGACAAACTCCTTCCACATACTGTGGAAGCTGGACAAACACGAAGTGAACAAGTCAGGCTCTGTGTCATTCAAAGGCCTTGCCGGCAGATTTCAAGCACAGTTTGCTTGTGACTCAGAACAAACATCTGAAGATGGCATTGATTCTTCCACTCCTTACAGCATCTTTCAAACACCAAGCCCCTTCTGAAACTAACTCATACACCAGAAAAGGACAGGACCACATGAATTTTTGACTTTGAATGTCAGATGTGTGAATCTATTTACACTTTAGCTCCCATGAATCCCAAAGCAGAGAGTTCAGATCCTCTAAATCTTATCTACATCACTTCACAATAAGTTTCCCTTACAGCACTGTAATGAGCAGACAGTGCAGGCAAAAAAAAAGAAGAAAAGAAAGAAGGAGAAAAGAAAGAAAAGAAAGAAAGAAAGAAGGAAGGAAGGAAGGAGAAAGAAAGAAGAAGAAGGAAGGAAGGAGAAAGAAAGAAGAAGAAGAAGGAAGGAAGGAAGGAAGGAAGGAAGGAAGGAAGGAAGGAAGGA